AGTTATTTAAAAAACAACTACCTGTCTTATATTTTGGCACCGATATCAGTATTCAAATGCGCTGCAAATGATGCTTTGCCAGATAATCCCTTGAGAAAAAGACTGTTTGCGCTCTATCAAACGAAAGAAATTGCAAAAACAGATGGAACAAATAGGACCACGGGATTCAGACTCAGTGCAATTCGATATCTTATAGAAAGAAAGAAACATTATGCAATGCGCAATCTAGCATAAATTTTGAAAGTTCAATTTGTTCGGATCACTATCGGTGCTGTAATGTCTTACAACAGAGGTTATACGATAGAAATACAAGCTCAGATAGATTGAATGTAAATAAAAGCACGCAGAACTTATTTGACATCCTAGCATAGTTTCGATAGGATCTCAGCTGATCAATCTTGGTTTTTGTTTGAAAAACTGATTGAACTCAAACTTTCCTGATATCATTTCTGAGCTAGAATGCGCACTCCTTTTTAACTAGAAGAAATCTGTTTCGTTCTCTTTCACACTCATTTCGTGGCGAACACCAAGAGGCAATTCTTTCAAATGCATTACGACAGCGTTGTGAAAATGAAGGAGTCGAAACATTGTCTTTCTTCTTTTTCGTTCTTGCATTTTGTGACGCTGGAAAAAAGCAAATGGGTGAAAGTTCAACAAATAAAAATCATGTGACAGTGAGAGAAAGAAGCACAACTAGATTACATACTACTTTTTGATACACAAAAAAAGTGTGTTGAAAACTAGAATTCAAGCTAATAAGTGAGACTACATGTTTTAAATTTTTGATCGATGAATTATTACTTTATCTACTTGAGTATGACATAGCAGTGGAGCTAGCAGTCAATCGTGACTAAAAGCGTTCGATTTCGATGCCAAATGTTACAGCAAGACAATACAAAATGAAATCAAAACGATTATTGCAAAGGCTATTAATTCTTTTAATCATTAAGGAAAATCTGATGTCAAAATCTCGAATATGCGCTCTGATGAGCATATTTTTCTCGAAAAAAACTCTTCGTCCTAGGTGAAATGTTTCCTGTAGCTTTAATCAATTTATTTTCAGATAACCTGATTGATGAAAAGAAAAATAAGCGTTTCATTTTCTAATGAATAAAATGTTACAATCACTCATGTTCTATGGAGTAGGATCATTTTGAATAGTCATCTTTTCTCTCGTGATGTTACCCATTTCGTTTATTACTTTTCATAGTTGCTATAGAATTGTTTATTGGAGAAAAAAGTACACGTCATGTTTATTTGCATAGCATAAAGAAAGAAAAAAGAAAATTCCAAGTATCAAAAAACAACAATGATATAAAAGAGAAGTAAACACTTACTCATAGTATTTGAGGTAACATAAGAATTTTCTATTTCATTTAAGAATAGTTTATTATTAATCAAATTCACCATTATTGTTAAGGTAAATGAGATATATTGTTAGTATTTGAGAATAGTGACTGCAGAGTGACTACGCTACATTTTATGGGTATATTAATAAATAAATTGTCCCAAAAAAAGTGTTCAAATAATTCACCATGTTGGTTAGACTTCATCAATGGAAATTAAATGTTTATAGAAATAGCTACATTTTATTTTGCTTTTAATTTTAGACTATCAATTTCTTCAAGATTATCGAACGAAAAGTGAAATTTCTTTGATACTATTCTGAATAAAAGGTAAGCTAATTTCAAAGCAAAAACAATTCTATGTTATATCGTTTACTTTTTTAGCATTCTTTTTTTTTGTAGTAAAAGCTTCATCATGAGGATCTATATTCAAAGCTTCACAGGAATGGCACAAAATCATAGCTTCGACGTAGAGCCTTCCACGACAATTAGAAGACTGAAAGAACTCTTTTGTAAAAAGACAAAATCTGAGGAAGACTTACTCGTATTATGTCTTACATTCAATAACGAAGAACTTGAGGAAGATAAGAAAGCATTGTTGGATTATAAGATAACAGAAGATGCTCAATTGAATGCAATATTTCTTGGTGAAACTTATCGAGCCAATCTAGGTTTTATGGGATCGAGATTTGTGGATGTGAGTAATAGTAAAGGTTTGAAACGAAAAGAATGGTCTAAAAAAGCTCCAAAATGGCGAAAAACTATCCGTGGTTTATGTCTCGAGGGTCGATGCTCAAATTTGGAATGCGAAGCTCACGACCACAGCGTTATTATGCGCATTGGATACAAAAAATTTGATATTTTAGCCGATCCAGATGAAAGTACAACAGTATGTCCAATATGTGAACAGTTTGTTGAACCAAAAACATGTGCCTTTAATAATTGTTGGTGGAGATATGAAGGAGTTCAACAAGCAGAAGCTGGTAGTGATAAACCACCAAAAAAATGTTCAAGTGAATGGTTTAGAGTCGATGATGCATATCATTATTTTGACGAAGAAACAAATGGAATGGTTACATGGAAGCGTCTTGTAGTTGAAGCTGTTAAGGACAAGCCTATATAATAATTTTAAGCGTTATTACTCCGCTCTTCTCTCAAATTCTGGACTAGAGTTTATTCTCTAAATCCGAATACAACAGCTTTTTCTTCATAGATTAGTTTGACTATGTATCTAGCAATCATCTTTATTCTTATCACTTTGTATTTCATGTGTTAATACTTCTTAATCAAAAATTCATAGTAATGAATAGTCAGAAAAATATGATTGATCGAAAATTAATAAACTTATTATGAACAAAATTTAGTTTTTTTTTTTCAAGTGAGTAGTGTGTTCATACAATAGCATACTAATAATCATATGTAAGAACGTCTAGCAATCTTCTGACATGAATTTGATTCTGTAGGTTAATTTATGAGTAAAAAATAAAACAATATCCACATCCATTTTCCCAGTTAAAAGGCATTGATTTTTTACAGTAAATCATTTCGCATTGAGTCACTACAAAACACTACATGCTGAATTTCTCATATTCTTCAAAATGTAAAAACTATTCGTAAATAAAAATTGCAAATATTTGGTCATATAAGATTCGATTACATGTTATTAAGAAAACTGCTTCTTATGAATTTACTACGAATTCATCTGAATTCGTAACTCAACAAACAACAAATGGTGACAAGAGATTGAAACTATTGTTAATACTTTAACTAATTTATACGTGTTTATCCATGGTGATATCTTTCGAGTTCTATATCAAATATGATATGTTTTCCTTTCAGAAACTTCGATGAATTTCATTCAGATGTGTTCTATAAAAATGTTTCATATATTCAAAAGAAATGTTAAGCGTCGCAGAGAGATAGTTTCGGAAGTAAAACTATATATCTTATTTATTTTAACAAACAAACACACGGAAATATTTATTTTGTTGAGCACATTCCAATGAATAAAACACGACATCAACCATATTTTCTCGTTGAACCATTTAAAAATTATGAGAACATATTGATAGCTTTAGTATTCTCTTTTTCAGATTCATCAAGATCTTTATGAACATGTTGTATCATCATTAGTTTAATATTTACAATTACTTGCTGATATTCCTGTATATTTTAACTCAATGGTCACTAAGCATGAAAACAAATTCAAAGAAATCATGTTTAAGACTCAATGATTTGGTACTGCCATGCCTCATTCACAAAATAACTTAGATGTATTAAAATCATCTATTCATAATGATGATATACATTAATGGTATATTGATAACATGGAAGAATTATTTTCTATTGTAAAAATATGCCATCAAAGTATACTTTGTTACTTGTCCTTCGTTTTATACATCAATGAATGGTTACCGTGAAAATATCATTGATGCACTATCATTCGATTAAGCAATGAATGTTTTCAACAAGACTATTGTTATCTTTAAATCAATCGACAAGTATATCAAAATAATGCCCATTATTGAGGCTAGTCAATAATGGATGGTTAAATTGTTTTTTCAATACATCTAATAAAAAAGTTTAACACAATGGATATTAGCAATAAAAGGAGATTGAGGAATTGTAACTCTATTGAAATATTTTTTTAGAATTTGTATTTTAAAATAGTTCTGAATTCTATGGAAGACATTTCAATTATTTTAATAAAGCTTTGTAGTTAAATGAGACTTCATTCATTCAAAAGCAAACCAAAAGAACATACTGTCTTATTGTTCAAAATGTTTCATTGGATCGAATTGGGTTATTATATTTGGTGATTTCAATCCAATTATAGTTATTATTAATCATATGAAGAATGATGTATAAACTAAACTATTAATTTGTTGTGCATTTATCATTTTATCTAGAAGAATATTATTGTTAAAATGTTGTTGTAGGAAGGTAAAAGTTATAATCTCTCGATTCACACAACGATGATTCTTTCGAGAATGTAGCGAAGTTTAGATTAATTTTAAAAGAACGAAATAAAACTTTCAGAGCTTGTGATACTTCCATGCATGAGGTTACCGATAGATTGAAGAAAAGTCGAAAAACTTGTGTAGAAATCCAAAAGAGACAGGTTAGACGAAATCTTCCAACCAAATTGAACACTATCTAGCTTCTCAATTACAAATAAGAGAAAGTTGAAAATTTTATTGTAAAAAGTATTTCTTGAGATCATCATTTTCTGTAGCGCTTATTTTTTTTGGAACATGTTCTGTTTTAATGAAAAATTGTCACAGAACATGATAATTTTTGGCGTTTTTTGGGCTTCAACATCTATATGAATCTCAAAACAAAACTTTTACCTTTATTAATGCTCTAAATTTATCTAACTATCATCCATCTAACAGTGGAACATCCGGATTTGTAGTATGTTTCAGAACAGAATGATGAAACTGTCTTTGGAACCTACTTACCAGGATGGATGTGGATGGGAATAAAGACGAGGCCTCTTCTACCTATATACTGTATTGGCTTGAAATATTCAATTAAAATGTTAAAAATAAAGTTAATCTATTTAATAGTGCATATACAAAAATAAATTTAATGAAGTATATTTCATGTGCTAGATTAATTTGGTTCAAAAGCTATATATTTATGTATCTACTTTAAATGTTAAGACTCTATAATATTGAATTATTCAAAGTTAATGAGAACAGAGAGAATATTATTTTATCATATGTACAAAATGATGAATATCGGATTTAGGTTTACCCAAGCTTCAATGGAAAATGAATCATTCACTTTGTATGGATACAGAGGGAAGATATATTATGTGAATAGTTAACAAAGTCGCAAAAATGAAGTATTTTTATGAATAATGTTATTTGGTTTTTAAAACACAGTTATCAATTTGTTTAAACAGATACTCGTCCGATATCTACAAAGTAGTAGAATCAATGTGATTGGAAATAAAAGATATATTTCTTTTGTGACTCAATATTCCATTCATGCTCATAAATTGATAGTTCACGACTGAAAATTCTAAAGGATCATCAATGTGTATGATTAAGGAAGCAAATTAAATTCATTTCAACAATCACTTCTTTTCCTATTACATTCATTTTCTCATTTATAAGTAGAAGAAAAGCACACTGCTGATTCACTTTGAATAACTATTTTTTTTTCGATGTGTAGAAGAACATCCTTCTTTATAAAGTGGTATGTGTCATTAAGTTTATCTTGAAATGTTGTTTTTATACTAAAACAGTGGAATCGATTGTACAATCTTCTGCAGCTTCATTATCTTGACAACAAATCGAAAAACCTACTGCTCGTCTAAGTCTTCATCATTGTGAAGTAAATCTGAATCATATGTTGACGAAGCAAAACGTTTTTATTTGATTTTTTGTTATTTCTATAAGATATAGAACAGTCTACATTACCATCCAATCAAACTTCATTTATTTCCGATCTAAATTCAAACACTTTTACTCAAGTCCCAAAAAGAAATTCATTATGCTTCTGTGGTCGATTCTAGTCATTATGGTCATTGCGAACCGGACTGAATAGCTATGTAAGTGAACTCAAAATATGAAGTATAAAAGATGCTAGTGAAAGTATTGTGTCACAACTAAACTTTATAGCAAATTGCCAGATATAATTTTCAGTAACTTGATGGAATAACTTGGCAATCTTTAAGATCTAAATCAACAATATTTTTATGCCATCGATGTAAATAACAATCGAAATAATAACGACCATCAGAGGAGTCATGAGCATAGTTATTCTTGCATTTTTGAAATTGTATTTAAGAAATTGAAATAGATTGTTTTCAGTTATAATCCTAATACCTAATGTTGATTAATTTCTGTTATTTTTTTCCATACAATAATGTCATATCTCCAGAATAAACATATTCAAAGAAGAATAAGTGAGGAAAAAAAGCATAATTTTGTCATGACAGTGCAAACAAATGATTTTCTTTTTTTGTTGAGAGAATTCTAGACAGTGTAATAATAGAATGGATTGAACCCTCTTATTTCAAATTCAATAACTAAGAAAAAGGAAGAAAATTGTTTAGCACCTTTCTTCTAAAATTTATCAACAAATTCATTTCAAAACTTTTACTATCCATTATCGTTTTCTTGTCGAGTATATGGTATAAATTTACCGTGGTACATCAGAAGAGAAGAATATTGGCTCACAAAAACAACAAAGAATAAAATTCTTGTTGTCGATAAAAAATAAAGATTTATTTAGATTCATTAAATTATCGTTTCTGATTCCTTTTTTTATGTATAAAATGATGCCGACGAAGCAAATAACTATGACATGACCATTCCTGCAAATCATGGTATGTTCAACAAAGACACGGAAACACTTTACAAATTTTCTATGGATTCATAGAATCTTCTTGGTAGTAGTTTTGCAGACAATTGTACATTATGTTTGTTCTACTTTTCTTCCTGTTGTTCTATATTCCGGTTCTTGTTGCATTGCTTATCCTATCAACAAAGCATCTCTAATTTTTCTCGTACTTCTTAAATAAAATCATTCGCTTTTTACAAGGTAAAAAAAAACAATTGATAAACGACAATGAAACTAAATGGATGAAAGCAGTTTCACAGTACTAATATTTTCATAAATATTCATTAGAGTCCAGACTCAATAGTCTATTTTTGAAGAAATAAAGTGTTTCTAATCATGTCACATCGATCTTAAACTAAATTCTTCTCTTGTTGAAAACAATAATCGAGAAGAGATCGATGTGACGTTGCATCACCACACAACAGCTGAGATGTCAAGTGATCAATATGGCTATATAAGTGGCAGGCAGATGAGTAATGACAACGTTTGGAAACTAGAATAGAGTCTAAAGTCGTGGCTAACTTTGAATACTGTCTTTTTTTTTGTCCTAATCGATTTCTATACTTGGTTTAAATGAAAGAAAGGAAAACATGGACAATGGATTTAAGGTACATTTCTATAATGTACAACTAAGTAAAAATTCATGGAAAAGTTGATAAAAGCTAGGCATGGCTAGAACAATGAATTGGTCGATACCTTGTCTGATGTTTTTTTGCTATATTATTATGTTTAAAAATATGAAGCTGATTATTAAATTATTCGTCACAGTTGATACATTTGATAACAACCATAATAGAAATGGAATTCTTATAAAAATGATGCTACTGTGACAGACATTTTTAGTAGTCTAAATGTCCATATTTAAATAAAATTTATCTCAATGTTCGAAAAAATTCAAAAATGATCATTGACAAATGTAGGTGATCAAAATAGAATTAAAATAGACTATAATTGAAACTAATCATCCCTAATGCTACAGAAAATTCTGTTTGTCTATCGAGAATTAAATTTATTCACAAATATTGTGTGCGTCTTATATATCCAAGTTCTGTGAAATTAATAATGACTATCGATCTAACCGAATTTCCTTTGATGTTTTTGCATCAAAACATATTGCATAAATAACTCTTGATGAATTCATTTCTCTTATATTTGTTTCAACAATAATTTCACGTCCGTTGTTTATACAAAGTCTCATCTTGATAAAGAAAAAACCTACATTTTCAAAAGATTGCAAAATCTTGAAATTAAAAAAAAAATGAAAATATTCAATATTTTTCTTTTTAAATTCTTCAATTAAGACTAATTAATAAACTGACACACACGGAGAGTGAACAAAAAGTGAAAAAGAAAAACAAAACAAAACTACATACACCAGATGAAGACAAAAAAAAAATGATTATGTACGCAAGAAAAATATATTGAAAAAAAAAAACAAGTGGTAGACAATCGAATATACATCTGACAAAAGATGTTGATATCTGCTATAGGCACAAAAAGAAAACGATAAGAGAAAATGATGAATGAATCAATTTAAAATGAAACATAAGTTCATACAAATCAAAAATCAAGATAAATAAGAAACACTGTTCAACGTACATATATTCTTATTTACTAGAGTTGTGATTCAACTAAACCTGCATATGGAGATTCTGATTTATTAAATTTATGATTAGAATCAAAATTTGGTATATTAGTTTTATTTGATGTTGAAGTTAATTTTTGATGAGACAAATTATTCTCATTAATTGGATTAGATGAAGATAAAACACTCTTGTCATTTGTTCGATCATGATTTGTATGTTGTATTTTCGTTTGTCGTCGAGGATCAACAGCTTGATTTGGTTTAATTATATCTTCGCGATATTGATAATCTTCTTCATAACCAGTAGGAAATATCATTTCATCTTCAAATTCATCAACTATAGTTGATTCAAGAGGCGATGGTCGATAAACCTAAACAAAAAAAAATTCTTTTTTTATAATATAAAACGACAAAGATTTTCTAAATTATACTTGTTCATAAAGTTGTTTATCCGATCGACAACTATCATAAAATGGATCATTTCGTCTCAATAATGTTGATGACATTGAACCATCACCAATACTTCTTAATGGTGTTGAATCAACTATTCGTACTTCACTATACATTGGTGGACCAAGTTGTGATCTTGAATCAGCTATATCATATGGATCATAAATTCCATTTGTAATATATTGATGTTGTTTATCATTTTTTTCTTTATACATATTTCCATTTTCTACTAAGAAACCATTCTGATTATTCATACTATCAAATAATAATGCTTTATTTCGTTTTGTTTGCTGTCGATTTGATTGATAACAACGTAGAATACAACATAAACATAATAGAATAAGAAGAAATAAAAATAGAAATAAAAATATTCCAATAGTCCATAAAAGAAATGAACTATTCATTAATGATGTTTGTCGAACTCGTAATTCATATGATAAATATTCGTTATCTGAACGTCCTTGATTACGTATAGCAGCAACACAATTATATGTTCCATTATGTTCAGTACCTATATTTGATATTGTTAATGTTGTTGTTTTATTAAGACATGTTGTAGATGATAAATCCATAGAAGACGTTGATAGACATAAATAACGAATTGTATATGAACCAGTATGAATATCAGGTTCATTTACAGTTGATATCATCTTACCAATAATTTTATTTTGAAATGTCCACCAAATTTCAGGTGCAGGATCTGAATAGACCTAAAATATAACATATTATTCGAATCTATAACTGCATGTATACGAAATATATATTGTCTCAACATAAAAATACAATTAATCAATTGAAAGATTTTTCTTATCAATTTGAATGTTAACATATATACATACAAATAGACATTGTAGAATGAATCCTTATTTTATTTACTTACATCACATCGAAGTGTAGCAAGTTCTCCAGTTGTTGCAACAAGAGTTCTTATATCAGGTTTTGATATAATTGGTCCACAAACAAATTGTTCATCACTTAATGTAATAATTTTTTTATCAGCTAATGCTTTCGGCATTTCACATTGTGGTTCATCATGATAAATAGGATATTCAACACGATTTAATGCATTACGTAACCAACGAAGACGACAATCACATTCTAAAGGATTTAAATTTAATTTAAAACGAAAATAATTTGGAAATTTTATATTATTTGTTAATGTTCTTAACATATTTGAATTTAAAAATAAATTTTTTAAATTTTTTAAATAATTAACTATAGTCATATCAATATATTGCAAACGATTAAATGATAAATCAAGTTCTTCTAAATGATTATATGCTCGAATATCAGATATTGTTAAACGTTGAATTTGATTATGTGATAAAATTAATTTTCTAAATTTGAAAAAATTAAAGTTTTTTTTTTTTTTATATAAATAAATAAATTTACATACTCAAGATTACTATATTCTTCATTATTATTTGATATTTTTGGCATAGTTTCAAATTCATTATTTGATAAATCAAGATATTCAAGAGTTTGTTGAATTAATACTAATGCTCGATTATCTATTTGTCGTAATTTACCCTGTACAATATATAAATAACGTAAATCATTTAATTGATAATAAATATTTCCATATGAAAATTGAAGAAAACCATTTGATAAACTATTTAATCGATGATGTATTATAGTTAAATTTGTAATAACACCACCACGTCTTAATTTTATATCTGATTGTAAACTAAGTTGTTCATGTATGCATTGTTGATAAGCAATTAATGAATGAACATTGTCACAAATCATTGTCATTCCTGTACTATCTAAATGGCATGAACATGACACTGATCGACTATATACCATTCGAATTGATATTATCAATGGTAAATACCAAACTATGGTGACTATGAATAAATTCATATGAACATTTAATAGAAATTTAGAACTAAAATAAAAATAAAAAATACATATGTATTGATTTACGTGATTAGAAATACAAAGTAGACATGTAATCTTGATTAACTAGTATGTACATCATATTGCGTTGTATAGAATAGAAATGAATTAACCGTATCATACGAAAATTATCACATTTTCTTGACAGACTAAATTATCATCACTTTCTGTCAATATATTATTACCAATGAAGTACACATATGAAAAATGAATATTTTTATATGTTAAGCTTATTAAAAAAAAAAAAAAGAAACCATATTTGAATAGTGGAATCAAACAAAATTGATTTGACAACTATTAAAATGTCTAGCCTTTTCATGTAGTAACAACACAAAAAAAAAAAAACGATCTGATATGAAAATTTTCAAAGCATGAAACATCATGTTGGGTTTTTTTTTTGTCGAATGTCAACGAATTCATTTCTTTTTCGCATGTATATGTTTATATCAACTATTTTAATCTCTTGATTGATAAGCATGAGAGGAGACTAACATTATCACATTTCGATTCATTGATCAAATATATATCATATGGAAAATGTGTATCTACTTTAATTATCAAAAAGAAAACATTTCAACTTGAATTGATCGTAGTTAATGTAAAAGAAATAAAAAGTGATTCATTCTCTATTCGAGAGAATGATAGAATTCTTATCGAAAGTATAATTCTAAACGAGTCGCTTTTTTTATTTTTTCTTTTATCAATACTGACCATCACTAGACAATCGATAATTTTATATGTTCATTGAAGTGATAAAAAGAAATCAAATTCAATCATTAAATTATACAAAAAATATGATATAGATATGATCGAAATATATGTAAAATACTCACATAATATTGTCCATAGACTTGTCTTCATTAACATGATGCTATTCGATAATTCATTCAAAGTCGTTTCTACATCTATTAAGAGAACAAAGAAAATATATGCAATGATGTCCGACCGACGGAATGAAATTATCTTGAAACAAAGCCACTCAGTATTCTTCCTGTTTGAATAGAAAGAGAGAGAGAGAGAGACAGTCATTTAATGTTTGAAAGAGACAGAGAGAAGGCAAATTTTTTTTTTCTTCTTTCCATCAGTACATACTCTCGGATGGACAATGGGAGTAACAACAGATTGATCAACGATCGAACAGAATAAGAAGAAAAAAAAAAGACGATCGAGGGCAACACCTTTGAGCGGGGTCAAAATACAGAACAACGGTATAAAATAGAGAGCAAAAAAAAAAAGGGAAAGGACATCAAGAGGGTTGCAAATGATTATCAATATATGTCAAACGGAAATGTTGTTCAATAAAAGTCAAGTACTGATTATGTCTAGTCTATAGACGATCATGATCCTTTTCTTTCTTTTAATCAAGATCAGATCAATTAGTTATTGAATATAGAAAAAACAAAACGGAAGAATGCAAAAACACATATGGACTGTTAATGAGTAGCACTTGAGGCATCACCAGCTAGTATTCTAATGTTATTACAGACCGATTCATAAACAATAATGTTCGGGTGTATAATATGCAAAGATTATCGTCTGTTCGTACATTGGTACCATATGGACATCTTTTGTTGCTGACTAATATACCATTTGAATGGGAAGAGTAGATTGAATTCAGATGTTGCCAACGATAGTGATTTTCATAGAAATATACATAGAAAGAAACAAGATAGGCGATGTAGAAGCATATTTTTATGCAATACGATAGTGTTCGATTGAGTTATGATGAATGATTTTTATTGATAATGATATGTTAGATTTGTTTATCAGTATATACATAATATTATTAAGAAAACGATGAGAAAAATAATCGGCAAAAGATTTCTTTTTTTTTTTCTTGTTCTTCTTCGTCTTGAAAAAAACAACAAATCAACTATTGGAGACAGACCTATAATCATCGAGCAATAAAGTAACAATCTTTTCTCATATTATGCAACAATCAAGTGATGTTATGGAAAAGAACAGATATGGAATATTGTTGGTGATGGCAGAACATCACTAATATATATGAATAAGTGAACAAATGATAAGAAAAGATCTTATGCGCACATGTTCTTTCTCACGAAGTCATGAAAAAAAAAAACTGGGAACTTTCAATCTCATATAACAAATCATGGACGAAGAACAAACACAACAAGAAGATAGAAAGAAAGAAAGAAAAAGACAAAAGATTTTTGGCAGTTTTTATCATTGGTTATTTGCGTTGAACAATTAAATTAATTCTTTAGACATTGAACATTTTCTAACTATCAAAAGTATGAAAAAAACAAATTGTTTTTCTAAATAAAGTTATTGATTTAAGTTTTGAATTTTTTTGGTTTTATGAAAGTTACTAGAATAAATTAAAAAGCGCCATCTATGAGTTTTTCATTTATATGATCTTCGTTGAATCATATTCATTTTATTTCAAAAATGATGTGGTACTTATTATTCAAACGATTATTTCAACTAACGTTATTCTTCATATGGAGTTTAACATTAATTTTTCTTATATGTCTTTCAACTTTTACTTTTGTTATTTTCAACATTTGTTTAACTATTTTTTTATTTTGGTTTATTTTAACATTATTTGGATGGTCTATTACTTTAATTCCTATTCTAAAATTTGTTTATATACCATGGTACCATCGACAATGTCGTTTATGGACACAAAATAATCAACAAAAACGTTATAGTGTTGCATTTTTTTATCCTTATTATAAAAATGATAGTAGTAGTAGTGAACGAGTTTTATGGTTTGCTATTGAATCAATTCTTAAAAAGTATAAAAATGATATTCAAATCATTATTTATACAGGTGATACTAATACAAAAACAGAAGAAATCCTTCAATGTGTTAAACAACGTTTTGGTATAGATATGGAAATTTATGAATCTTCAATAACATTTATTTATCTTCGAAGTCGTTTTTTAATTGAAGGAAACTATTATAATATATTAACTTCATTAGTACAAAATATTGGTTCAATTATTTTAAGTTTTGAAGCATTAATACGTTTTATACCTGACGTATATATTGATTCCATGGGTTATGCATTAACTTATCCATGTTTTTATTATTTTGCTTCAATTCCAATTATATCCTATGTTCATTATCCAAAAATTAATAGTAATTTATTTGAACAAATAAATGAAGAATATAAAACATATAATAATCATCAATCTATTATAAAAAATTCAATATTAAATAAAATAAAATTAGTTTCCTATCAAATATATACTTATGTTTATAGTTGGTGTGGAAAATGTTCAAAAATTGTTTATTGTAATTCAACATGGACAAAAAAACACATTGAATCTATATGGGGAACATGTTGTATTCATCTTGTTTATCCTCCATGTGATGTTAAACAATTTTTAGAAATGCCATTGATTAATGATAATGAACAAATAGTAAAAAAAATTGTTTCAATCGGACAATTTCAACGTGAAAAAAATCATGAATTACAAATTCGAATTTTTCATCAACTTTTACAAAAGTATAGTTTAATTGTTTTGGAATTAATATTAATCAAATAGTTGTTTTTTTTTTTTTTTTAGAAAACCGGATTATTGTCAGAAATTAAAATTGATATTAATTGGTAGTATAAAACATAATGATGATAGAAAATATTTAGAACAATTACAATTACTTGTTGATAAGTTAAATATTAGTAATGAAGTCATATTCAAAGTAGATATAGATTCTCAAGAATTAAAAACTCAACTTAATCAAGCTATCATTGGTTTACATACAATGCAGAATGATCATTTTGGATTAGGTTCGTAAAACAGAAGCTATGATTGAAATTAGTTTTGATGTTTTTAACAATCAAAGAATATGAGCTCGGATATTTCTAAACTTGTCAGTTATATTAAATAATAATTTCAAAAAAATAAGAAAATATTAAATTTATTAATTCTTGCTAAGAAATCATATCTTTATTGAAGGACGCTAGATAAAACAAAGTATAGCACATTTTCTCAGTAACTAGTATAATAATTCATTAGATATATTAAATGAATCAAATATTTATATATTCATTTTCTGTTTTGTTTTATTTCTTTAGGTATTGTAGAAATGATGGCTGCAGGTGCCATTGTTGTTGCTCATAAATCTGGTGGTCCACAAATGGATATTATTGATGAAGGAAAAACAGGATTTTTTGCTTCGAATATTGATTCCTATGTAACAATGATGGAAATGATACTTGAAATGAAATCTGATGAACGACGTCAAATACAAGAAAAAGCACGTAACAGTGTTGATCGATTTAGTATATTAAATTTTGAAAAATTATTTATGGAACCATTTGAAAAGATTTTATTTGTTAAATAAATTATTTACTACTATTATAAAAAAAAAAAAGAAGGCCAGAATAAAAAGATCTTTGATATTATTTTAGTATTTTAAATATGGCATCGAAAGTTATTGGAAAATGTGAAAAAAATTTTATTATTCGATGTGTACGAGATCGACAAGTAAATCAATATAAGAACTTAAAATCGATTCAATCAATAAATTTTATCTATTCTTTTAGAGACTTGATCATCGACTTCCATTTGTTACTCGTGACATAAAAATTGAATTTCGAGAAGAATATGGTTCAGTTGTTGTCTCACTCGGTTTAACCAAGTTTGTGAGTTAATAAAAATCAGTTTGTTTATTTACTTTTCTTTTGTAAGAGTATTGGGACAAACTTCATGTAAAATTGTTAAACCAAAAGAAACTCGACCGAATGAAGGTCGATTAAGATTACAATTAAAAAATAGTCATGCAATGGTGTTTAATTTTGAAACTGGAAGGTATAAATTATTGAAAATCTATTGAAAATTTTTTTTTTTTATCATGTTTTATAGACAAACTCAATGGACAACACTTATGAGTCGACATTTATTACAAAATATTCGTGATTCAGGTTGTGTTG